ACACTACCGAGCGAATCACTTAATAAGCACTAATGAATAGCTTTTAGATACGATAAAGGAATGCCCTCTTTAAAGCCACATACGTAACACAACCGACGCCGCGCTAGTTCCATTCAACGCCAACTGGACTCTGTCATTAAAAGGGCTTATTGTACTGTATAATGAATGAGCTATTAAGGGCCTATTTAACTCAATTATATTGCAGAATGGAGTGAAGTTTTATTAATCCAATGAAACTATAAATGCATACCAATACTGCGCGCAAGCATTAGCGACTGTTTTGCAGCTCAAGTAAGCAGCGAGATATTGAATGGGCTGAGGAGCAGCTAGCTAACAAGCAAGCTACACAACCTCTGGCTACTAACGTTATGGAATAAAATGTATATTTTTGTTTCTTTTTGCGAGGTCCAACTTTAGCAGACATACGTGTAATACTAAAACGGGACATTTTTAGAAGCCTTGTTCCAATGTTTGTTCGCAATAAAGCCCGTTTTAGCTGTGCAGGGAGCAACTTGGATAAAAGTGACAGCGCTAAGCTAACGTGTGCTAGCTAACGTCAGTTGGCTGTAGAAGCTGGTGGCCTGTGAATGGGTCTTTCTTACCGTCATAAACTGCTCCAGGGGCGTCCAGTTTTTAAGGAATATATGTTTTGCCTTATGAGGAAATGTTTTGTGAATGGGCGATATAGCCCGAACATCCAAGATCAGTTGACCCGCTGCCGATGAAACCCGAGCATCATCACTATCACCGTCTTCATCAGTACTGGGAGTCCGGCGCTGCTTCACACACATCCATCCAGCAGAGCGGGGCCTCCACCGGGCTCGACCATGCGACTGGCTGGGCGACGACGGATAATCCACAAGACAGGAGCCCCCGCAGTAACCATTGGCTAGACACGGCGACTAGCAGTCATTTCAGGTCGACTGAATGCAAAATATATTCCCACGGATACGTCAAATTGAAGAAAATATGTTCACCGAAAAGGTAACAATTGAACAACTTGAATCGTAAAATCACAAAATAGGCAAATGTTCCGTTTCTGACTTTCCTAACATGAGCCTCTCCGTTGTTGTCAGCGTCCCCTGGTCTCTGCAGCTGCTTTGCCTGCCTGCCTGCCTTGCAGCACAGCAAGGATCAGCAGAGCGACGTAATGGCGCAAACCGAGCGCACAGGGGCGGGGCCACAGAGAGGGAGGCGCGCTGTTTGTTTCTGAACGCACCCAGGTATATCTGTGCCAGAATATAATCCTAAATATTCACACATTTAAATCCATTGAGACCCTTTAAAAAGATCACAATGATAGTTATTGATTTTGTTCATCGAATTTTCTGCCAAAACATGTGCATTATTTGACCACTGGTATTAAGAGCAGCAAAAGTATATAACCTGATGTATAGAATGTTACTTTATCTTAATATGCTCAGCAACATATATTTGTACATTCAATTATGTTGCAGCGCATGTCAATTATGTGTATTTTATTGCAGATTGAAGAAATTATTTAGTTTTTCCACATGATGTATAAATAAAAAAATAAAAAACAGACTTCATAAAGCTGTTATTTGCTGGTGCACATCCAGTAACTGCCATCCAAATAATTAATACAAAAATAGATGTATAAAAATAGCAGTTTGCCCATATTCTAATGTGTATTGTGAGATCATTCTGCATACTTTGAATGTATTCTGATAATATTACATTACATGTTACTTGTTAGAAGCTTTAATCCAAAGCGATTTACATACTCGATAGTGGACAATCCCTATAGGAGACATTTGGGGTGAAGTGTTTTGCCCAGGGACACAACGACATGCTGACTGCAGTGGGGTTTGAACCTGTGCTCCCGTGATCCCAACACCAACGCACTAGTCCACTGCACCACAGCCTCCCCTCTTAATAAGTTTGTGAATAGCTCAAAAGATTACCTACATAACAATACAGTCAAAAATAACTGCATTGTTAAAGGCACCACAATGGAATATTATTAGAAAAATAAAGGATTTCATGTTTACATTTTTTTATTTGAATTCCATCTTTAAAGAGTCTTGTCCTTACATGAAACCTTTTTCAGAAGTCATTGTATGACTTTCGGTCATCGCAGTTATTATGAAAATACCTTTTTTTGTTTGTCCTCATTCACTTAAATTCCAAGCTTGTTCATTCAGACCATATGAATCTGTAGCCCTGTCATTCACAGGACACTGTGAAAGAAAGAGAGAAATAAACTGAAGTAAGTGAGAGCGTGGTAATGTGGGCTGTACTGACCTCAAGTGGCTTGCAAAAGAAATAGCCTACAAAGCAGCTAACAATGGCCCATTATACAGTAACACTGTTGGGCATACAATGGAGTAAGCAGATGAAGCGGAGTGCTGAAAACAAGACAATGAGCCCAGTGTTGGTGATATGCATATCCCAAAAGCCACCTTGTACTCGGGGAAATTATGCAGTACTGTAGACCTAAAAACCCACTGTTTTTTTTTAGCTATGGTTTTATTGTTTATTTCTTTACTAGGATTTAAATATAGTATGACCTAATGATAAAAGGGTTTCCTTCGGGGGGGACATTTCTTTTTTGACATGTTGGGGGAAGAATTTACTTGAAGAATGCAGGGTGCCAAGGCACACAATGTGCTGCATAATCACAGATCTGGAACAAATGATGCATCTTGCTCAAAGGCACGTCAGAAAACACTAAACCCTAGCTGTCCTGATTTAGGAACAGTCACTCATCTAAACCACTGAATGCTTTTTTTATCCAGATGTTGTCATGATATGCTTCTTCTAGTTTTGATTGCTTGACCCTTTAAAGAAAAACAGTGGATCCCACTTAGTGCTTCTAAGGCAGAGTCTACCTCAGGACAATGATGTAAAACGTCAGTGTGTGTCTATGTACATCACTATTCATTATGCGTTTATATTTAGCTCAGTCCACAGGGTACTAGATTGGAACTGTAATTAAAACAGCAGCGTATCTGAACCTTGTTAATATGCAGACAGACGACCTAAGGGGACTCGGGTGCAATATGATGAGTTCTGAGGCACAATAAGCTGCATATTAAGATTATTATCGCTAAACAAATTAGCGACGGCCATGCAAATCCTGTGAGAGTACATCCAGTGTTACCCTCTTTAAATGTTATTTGAGGCCTGACCGTGAGAGGAATACAATAATGCTGCTGCACATTGAACTCAATGAACAGGAATAATAGATGGTAATAGAGCACAGGAAACACATACAAATATTGCATTTCTTGTAGATTAACTAGGAAAGTACTGCAACCATTTTCATGATGTCTTCTTTAATTATGCATATTATTATTTTTATTATTATAATGTGTTTTATTTTGTATGCATAAAATGACTTTTCTCATCTCATGATCGTTTTCTCTCTTGATCTCTCTTACTATTGCTCCCTATCTCCTACCCATAAAAGAAAAACTAAATGACCACCACCTGTCCAGTTATGGCCTAAAGGGGCCCTTTTATGCAAATGTTCATACTTGTATTTTTTGCCTCAATGTGACAAGTTTAATTGCTTTAATGTTGAAAAAGCTCTTTATTTTTCTCATACTGCCTGTGCTGCAACACCTCTTTTCACCCTCTGTCTGAAACCAGAGCCCAGTCTGCTCACATAAAGCACAACGTATTCCCCCCCCCCCCCCCCCNNNCCCCGCCATTCATTGTGGAACTAAAGGATGCTTCTGGTTATTCAACACAAGTCACTAACAATGCCATTTCTCTGCAGGCAGTCCAAAAGGAAACCTTGAGCTGAGCTGCTAAACACTTCCAACTAAAGAGCAAATCCTTGAGTTTGTTTAGAAAGGTGGGCCAATGATGAAGATCTGCAGACTGACCTCTGCAGCTCATCCAGAATGCAGCTGCTCGTCTGGTCTTCAACCTTCCAAAATTCTCCCACACCACGCCGCTCCTCCGCTCACTTCCAGTAACTGCTAGAATCCACTTCAAGACACTGGTACTTGCGTACCATGATGCGAATGGATCTGGCCCTTCCTACATCCAGGACATGGTTAAACCGTACACCCCAGCACGTGCACTCCGCTCTGCATCAGCCAAACAGCTCGCTGCACCCGCACTGCGAGGGGGACCCAAGTTCCCATCAGCAAAAACACGTGGGTTTGCTATCCTGGCTCCAAAATGGTGGAATGAGCTCCCCATTGAAATCAGGACAGCAGAAAGCTTACACATCTTCCGGGGCAGACTGAAAACTCATCTCTTTCGACTCCACTTCGAGCGATAGAATTGCTAACAAAGCACTTATATACTAATAAAGCTCTGGCTTATCTAAAGCCAGTTGAGTAGCACTTGAAATGTTTGGCTCTATGAAACCTGATGTACTTATATGATTCTGTTTTCTTCAAGGTTGTATCTTCCTGGTCGAATGTACTTATTGTATGTCGCTTTGGATAAAAGCGTCAGCTAAATGCAATGTAATGTAATGTAATGTAATGAAACCCCTGGTGTTGCATTGACGTGTAAAGAGTTCAATTTTGAGAACAGATCAACTGATTCTAGAATGAGAAGAGGGAAAAAAATGGCTTTGAAAAATACAATATCTGGAAACAATGCCCCCGCCGCTGAGTAATCCGCAGAGGTCCAAGGGTTATGGATAATCCCGTCAGAGCATTGTTTCTGAGAGGACATGTTTTTTTTTTTTATATATATATATATATTTTTTTAAATAGGTCTTTTTTATGCAGGGAATCGAAAAACACAAAAATGACCCTGATTTTAATGGGAAATCTTGCAAATGGATGTCTCAAACCTGGCAAAAAACGAACTAAACTGAACTAAAAATGCATGATTAGAAACAAGTGCAAGCATGTTTTGTTTTTTTCAAATATGGTTGTCTCGACCAGTTTTGCAATTCTTACCATTTCCAGGTTCTAACTATAATATCTGGAGCCAAATTAGACCCCATTATGCATGACAAAGAATCTTTACATGCCTAGTAAACAACATATTGCATCACATGCTCTGAATAGGGTTCAAAAATGTTTATTGGTACAGTGGAAAACATTTCAATCTAGCTTTTGTTTCATAGACTAGCCACAAAAACAGTGGACACCTCAGCACATGTGGGATGGAGTATTCAATATAACATAAATTAAAAACCTATTGGCCAGGGTTTTTTGCTTGGTTTTTAGCTCAGGAACAGGAGATGTTGAAGAACTTAATTCATCATTAAAGCTTCAAGTGACATCCATTCCGGCCTCTCAGTTATTTTCAAGCGTTCTCCTCCACCAGTAGTTTGAGGATCCCCTGCCTCCTGGCTGTGTACGGAGTCTGTTTGAGTTGAAGGAGGTTGGCAGGAAACAAGTTCCCACTGGGAGCGTACATCTCCACTCCCTTCTGCCCCATCAGGGAGCGCAGCGTCTGGTTTCTGGACAGCATCTTATCGTAAAACTCCACCCCTCCTTGGGCGTAAACGTGTGACACTCCTGCCGCTCTCCGGTCCGAGCTGTTGTCAATCCAGCTGCGCACCGAATCAGAGGCCAGGAAGAAGGACACGACCCCAAGTCCCAACGCCAGAATGTTCACACCACCCCGGAACAACAGAGGCCCAGTGTGAAGCCCAAACAGCTGCTTCATTAGCACACTGTACACCCAAACCCCCCCCAGGCAGACTGGGGCGACAGCGGCATTCAAGACGGGGCCCGCGGACTGCAAGCGGGCCACTTCACGTGCTATGGCGAACTTCTGCGCATCGAGGGACAGCACCAGCGCCTCCTGTAGAGCAGAGCCGACCTCGCTGCTCCAGTCCACCGCTTTGCCGTCGATGAAGATGGTGCGGTTGGTGATTCCTTTCGAGTCATCCGACGTGCTGTTGAAATTGGCCGGGATGCCAATTTGTGCCCCGGCAGGAAGCCAAGGGACCCCAGCGCCAACAGGATGGAACCCATAGGAGGCGAAGGCGGAGAAATTGTCAGGTGAGCTGATACCGTAGTCCTTTAACACCTATGAATGACAACATTGGAATTTTGTGTTCAAAAAGCAATTATTTGTACATTATAATGCTATGAAGGCAATAAAGGTCATTTTACTACTAGGCGTGCCGCAATAAAGAAAATAACAAAAGGATCCCAGTTAGGAATCCATTGTTTTTATTTGTCATTTGTTTTACCCGCAGAGGTTAACTTATCTCCAAAATAAACAGACCCAGTGTTGGAAACCATTTTAAAAATTGAATAAAGTAGTTTTGAGATTAAAGTTTGATGAAGTACGAGCTAATCGCTAAAATGTTCTTAGCTTGTTTCCTGATGACAAGTTGTAAAATAGTGTAGCGCCCAGATATGGCTAGAAACCGGAAAAAAATGTAAGTTTCCTTTCCGTAATATCCGTCCATTACAGGCAACCAAAAACGCACCATACCTTTGTTTAAAATGATAGTATAGAATAATATTAGGATACACTTATTTAATAAGATGTATCACATGGATGTAGTAATCTTTAGACATTTTCACGTGGAAATGTGATATTATATCTTTAATATTGTAGAACGTGAATTAAATGAGTGCTTTGTGATTAAATATTTCAAAAATGTAATCAAACCACTCATCATTGTGAGTGCTTAAATGTATGGAAATAAAGGTTTGTATCTCTTTTTTTTTTACTAGCATCAACTGACATAACAGTAATTGCTTGATTGTTGATTTTAATAGTTCAATAGTTGGCATTACAGGGAACTTCTAGATGTAATCGTCTTTAACATCTTCACCATTTGCAACTACCAGTACCATTGTACTTAAGTTGACATCTTCTGTTATTGATTGTTATCTTGAAGATGAATTGGACATCTCTCCCTACCTGCTGGAAAACATCCTGGAGCTTTTCAGACATAGTGACCGGCTCTCCTTTGGACCAGGCCTGATAGAGCTGCCGGTAGGTCATGTCGGGGAACATGTGGTAGAACATGTTGGCGCCAAAGACCCCCCCACAGCTCGTGATGAGCAGCGGAGTCCTGTACTTCTGGAGAAGCACTGCATACTTGAGAATACGATACGCCATGTCGCCTCTTTGCTTTCAACTGATTTTCTGTCAGTTATGTTCTGCAGACTTCAGCAGGAGGCATCTGTGAAGGAGATAGACCACATGTGTATGAGTAAAGAGGTTCGTGTTTTGATAGATATGCTAATTTAATACAATATAAAGTAGGGCTTCAGAAATATTCAAATTTCTCTCGATTTTGGCTCCCCACAATTTTATGAACTAAGATATTGATAATTTAAATGTGTGCTCCGCTCGTAGAAAACGTTCATGTTGTACTCCATTGAAGAACAGTTTTATACAACATATGGTATGGCAAAAATGTGTACATTGGCATGAATGTACGAAGTGTAACATGAAAGTCAGAGGAGTGCTCTGATTTAATAAATGACATTTTATTAAATATTTTGTACTTAAAATCAATTACCTGAAAATAAAAACTCAAGTAAGGTACATATACAAATTCGACTAAAGAACAACACTTATTGTAACTTAATGCAGCACCTTCACCCTATAGAGCAAAAATTGTGCATTCAGTGTTGTTCTTTAGTCGTATTTTGAGCTTAACTTGATTTGACTTTACTTTTATTTTCATGCAGCATCATATTTCTATTCCATTACAATTATCCGACAGCTATATTTACTTCAAAATCCTTTAGTTACTTTACAAATGTGTTTAACATATAAATCACATGGTTTAACACGTACATAATTGTTAAAATCATATTTCATACAAAAACTGTTCCAACTTTTCATGTGAGAATATTTGCTGATTTCCCATGAAATTATTTAATATATTAATTTATTTGTTTTATTTTAAGGTATGTACTTTTGTAACTTGGAATCCTGGGAAATTGTGACAGCATTTTACACTTTCTGTTTTTTTACAAACCCATGAGATCTACCTCAACCATTTACACCAGTACAATCCTGCTTTTACATTCATGCACGAGTAAAATTAACCTAATAATATACTACATATTAGTATAACAGTTATAAGGGGCATTTTCTGCACCTTTCCTTTAAGGATCTGGTTATTAAAGTGTCAAATGTTGCTAGCAGCAGTGGCGAATTAAAGATAGCATTACACCCCATAAAACTGATTAGTTATAGGGATTTAAAGGAGACCTATCATACTATATTTAAATGATATAGTGTATGACCATACCTATATAAGGTATATTTATACATTTTATTTTTCAAAATACCAAACAGATCATTTTTTAGCCATGCCTTGTTTCGCTCATTTACGCTCTATTCCAAGCCTGTCTTTGAAAATTCTGAGCAGCAGCTGACCACGCCCCCCAGCAGAAGAGGGGGGCATGAGCCGGCGAGAGTCACGTTACCATGTTTGCTGTGATTACGAGTGTGGAATAAACATGTCATCCCAGAGCAATGCATGTGTTCAAGCATATTATCAATTTGATCCAGAAACTGACCCTGAAGCAGCGGAGGTTTTGGTGGAGGTGCAAACATCTCGGTTCTAGCAGGACGTTTCTGAATGGTTAGTTGACAACATACTTGTCAACCCTCCCGATTTTCGCGGGAGACTCCCGATTTCATTGCCCTCTCCCGGTTTCCTCC